ACTCAAGACGCAACTTAAAAATCAATTTTCACAATCTTTCATATAATGCGCCGAAATGCGCTTGGGTCATCCGGGACACCAATCATTTTTCAGAACTGTCAAAACACCGATCCGAGGTTGTTTACCAAAATTATTGACCATAGTCAACTCAAGCCTCATTTTGAGTCAAAAATTACTTTTACATAAAAGTAATCCAGCAAATGACACGGACCACGCGCGCGAACCAACAATCCCCTCATTGCACACCACGTAGCCCAAGAATGCCATCGAATCAAGCCAAAACTCGCACTTGGAGAATTCAGCATATAGCTTGTTCTCCCTCGAAGTCTGAATCACGGTTCCCAAGTGTTGCTCATGATCCTCCTAGCTGCAAGAATACACCAATATATCATCAATGAACACGATGATGAAGGAATCAAGATGCGGTTGAAACATGTTGTTTATCACGTGCACAAAGGTTGCTGGGGCATTGGTCAGCCCAAAAGACATCACCAAAAAATCATAGTTGCCATAGAGGGTCCTAAAAGTCATCTTTGGAACATCTAAATTCTGAATCTTCTACTGATGGTACCCCGACCTCATGTCAATCTTCGAGAATATCCTAGCACCCTGAAACTAATCAAACAAATCATCAATACATGGTAGTGGGTACTTGTTCTTTATAGTAACCTTATTCAACTGTTTGTAGTCAATAGACATCCTCATAAAGCCATCTTTCTTCTTTACACATAGATCTAGAGCACCCAAAGGAGAAACACTCGGTCTAATGAAACCCTTACCAAGCAACTCTTGAAGTTGTTCTTTTAATTCCTTCAACTCCACAGGTGCCATGCAATATGGTGGAATAGATATGGGGTGAGTGCTCGACACCAATTCAATACCAAAATTAATATCCATATGAAGCGGCATGCCCGGTAGGTCTACGGGCAACACATCTGGAACTCTCTTACTACTAGAGCTGAATCGACAGTAGGAGTATCAGCACTAAAATCCCTTACAAAGGCAAAGTATGCCAAGCACCCCTTCTCAACCATCCATTGTTCCTTTAGAAAACACACCACCCTACTAGGAACATGACCCAATGAACCTCTCCACTCCAATCTCGGCGACCCCGGCATAGCTAACGTCACAGTCTTGGCATGAGAATCGAAGATAACGTGATATGATGACAACAAATCCATGCCCAAAATCACATCAAAGTCCACCATACTGAGTAACAAAAGGTCTAACCTAGTCTCATAACCCTTGACAGAGACCACGAACGATAGACACAGTCTGATAAGTTATGTTTCTTTTATTTTGATGATTTGACAAACTTCATTAGAGAACCAGATAAGGAACCTGATACAATTAGTTTTCTTGCGTTCAGAGTAACTAGTCAGATGTTTGGTTCAATTCTTAATGAAATCAGATAAGGGAACAGATAAGGATCAGTTCCCCTAGTCATCGTATAGTCAACTCTACAGCTTTAAACATTCTCAAGACCTTAAGATCACAAGGTTCGAGGCTGGGATCCAATTTGGGATATGGCTCAACACTTAAGAGTCGAAGGAACAACTGAGGGAACAGGTCCCTACCAGTTCCCGAGGTGACTGTACGAATTCAACTCTCCAGCTGGAAAGTTGCTGCCTGCACACGCTATAGTACATGAACAGTGCAGCAATCAACTTTCTGTGGAAAGCTTTTTACCTACCTTACTTACATCATCAAAGTGATGTCACAAATGAGATATTAACATCAAGCAAAGGTAAAACAAATCACTTTCACATTCAAGAACTTATCAAGCATTCTCTCAAGTGTGTGTCCATCTTGCAAGTGATTCTCATGGGCATCAAGAACAAAGAATAGCATAGCAATGGACCAGTTACCCATATTGATTTATTATATATCCTTAGTTGTGTTGTATCTTTGTTGAAGTTCTTACTTGTAATTCCTGCTTAGCTTACTTATGTTACATCTCGCGTTTTTCGTACATTAAAAATTTCGTCTTCAGTTAATTGACGTAGACTTGGGGATGAGATTATCTGGAAGTGATAATCTTATTGCTACTATGGTGTTCATGTAGCCATGAAAGTGCATCGGAGGACCTATTCCATTTACAAGTTCTGTCTAGCTCGTGCTTAACCTTGCTTAGATCCTCCTTAAGGACTCTTATCTGCTCATCTCTTTTGTACAACTCGTCTTTCATTTTTCCTAGGTTTTCTTCTAATGTGAGTTGTGTGTGATCAGCTTTCTTTTTACCTGTTCCTAATTTCAGTTTTAGATTTTCAGTTCTTAGCTCTAGGACAGTGGTGTTAAGTTCATGAACCTGGTTCTTTAACTTAGCATTTTTGCTATCACTTTCACTAGCCCTAAGTTCCACATTTTTGCACTTAGCTTTCAAAATCACACACTCCTTAGACAGCTGTTTGTTTTCATTGTTTAGATCCTCAGATTCATCAATGAAATCTAGGAGTAACTCAGATAGCCTTTCTTTAGACAAAAATTTAATCTTGTATTTGAGATGAATTATACTTATCTCAGATTCCTCATCGGATTCTCCAATTGCCATAAGTGCTTGTTCATCTCCATCTTCATCCTCTGAGTCCTCGTCTGAGCTTTCTCCCCAGGCAGCAACCATAGCCTTTGTTGATCCTTTGTTCTTCTTGGGTTGAACTTGTTCCTTCATTCAGCTTTTTCCTTCTTCCATTCAATTTCCCATTGAGGGAAATTTTTGATGTGATGATCATTCTTCCCACACATGTAACAACCCTCATTGGTTTGTTTTTTAGGAACCCTTGGTTTGTTGTAGCTTACACTTCTTGAAGGACCATTTCCTCTCATTAGGTACTTCTTGAAATCCTTTGTGATCATGGTCATTTCATCCTCCTCTAGATCAGCACCTTCAGTGATTCCCAATGCCATGATCCTTTCCTTCTTGGGTGCATCCATCTTCATGGTTTGCCTTTTAAGTTCATAGGCACTGAGATTTCCAATTAGCACATCCAACTTAAGAGTGGCAATGTTCTTTGATTCTTGAATAGCTGCGATTTTGCTTTCCCAAGAGATTGGCAGTACCCTTGTCAAAATCTTCTCAACTTTGTTCTCTTCAAGAATAACCCTTCCAAGAGACTCAAGTTCATTTGTCAGTGTGGTGAACCTTGTATGCATCTCTTGGATGGTTTCCCCCTCCTTCATGGTGAAATTCTCATATTCAGAATACAACAGTGTTCCTCTGGACCTCTTCACTTGAGGTGTTCCTTCATGAGCCACTTGTAAAGTGTCCCATATCTCCTTAGCAGTGGTACAACTTTGAATCCAGCTGTACTCGTCTGGACCTAGTCCACACACAAGCCATTTCTTGGCCTTGGCATTCTTTTCCCATTTCTTCAAATCTTCAGCAGTGCAGTCAGCTCTTGTCTTTGGCACGTCCACTCCTTCAGCATTCTTCTTTGTAGTAGCCAGGGGACCATCAGAGACTATGTCCCAGAGTTCATAGTCTTCTCCTATGATGTGGTCTCTCATCCTGTTCTTCCACCAAGAATAGTACTGACCATTAAAGAGTGGGGGCCTAGCAGTGGATTGCACTTCCCAGTTTCCAGGTGGTGCACTCATCTTGATCTTTTCCTAAGGTGTTAGCCTCTTCAAGGATAACCTGCTCTGATACCAATTGATGTTCTAAATTTCAATACCACACAAGATGGGGGGTGATTTGTGTGGTACCCAAATTTTGCTTATCTGGACTATAGAAGGACCTGGTTCTTCTAGGTGTTCCAACTACTGCTGTTTACAGAATAATAAATACAAAAATAAAGAACACAGAGATTTTTACGTGGAAAACACCTGGCTCAAATGGTGAAAAAACCACGACCTACTACTCAGTAGGATTTTCCCAAACTTCCACTAAAATCACTAAGCCAAAACAGCATTTACAAAACTCTTTGTAAACCTAAGGATTAACTCTAATCCTGTTGTAGCAAACAGCCTCTAACTGATGCGACAACTTCAAGTTAATTCTAACTTGAATACTCAAATTACCTATTACAAATGCTTCTAAATAAAGCTGAAAGGTACAATATGAAACACCTACTACAATTGAAGTAGAAATAAAGAAAAGACACATAAAACTCTTTATGGAGCTGGTTCTTCAATCAGGTTCATGTAGCTTCAGGTTTGCACACTTGAATCACACACGAACTGCTTGTAAAAAGCCTTTCTATTTTGCTCCCAATTCACGTTTAACTTCTGCGTTTTTGTGCAACACCATAATGTGAGAACATCCTGCAATTTATAGAAATAGTAGATGAAGAAATAACTAGAGTTCTGATGCAACTCTTCCTTGGTGGAAGAGTTGTAGTTGATTTCAACTTCTAACTCCTTCCTTATCTTGGATAGTGTTCTCTTTGATTAAGGAGTCCTTCTCCTTATCAATTATGCAACCTTTTTGATCAGGAGATATTAAATACACCAAGTTAAGCTTATCTCCTTCACGTGCATCCCACATGCTTGAATCTGCCCATTTTTGTGCACCTGAGGGATGGACCTGAGTGATGGACCTGGTTCATGTCTGAGTTCCTTTGTCAGTCTTCAAAACTAACCTTTACTTGGGCCAACAACAACCAATATCCATCCCTCCATATAGAATGGCACCTGCCGAATTGAAGGAGTTGAAGGAGCACTTAAAATATTTACTGGAGAAAGGTTTCATCAGACCCAGTACCTCACCTTGGGGTGCACCGGTATTGTTTGTACGGAAGAAAGACGGTTCGCTAAGGATGTGTATCGATTATAGGCAACTGAACAAGGTAACTATTAAGAATAAGTATCCACTTCAAAGGATAGACGACTTGTTTGATCAGTTGCAGGGAGCTAGATGCTTTTCAAAAATAGATTTGAGGTTAGGGTACCACCAGGTCAGACTTCGGGAGAAAGATATTCCCAAGACAGCCTTCAGGACCCGATAAGGCCACTTCGAGTTCCTTGTCATGTCCTTCGGGTTGACGAATGCATTTGCCATATTTATGGACTTGATGAATAGTCTATTCCAGCCATATTTAGATCCGTTCGTAATAGTCTTTAATGATGATATTCTGGTTTATTCACGTTCAGAGGATGAGCATGTGGACCACCTGCGAGCGGTACTCCAAACCCTCTGTGATAATAAATTGTATGCTAAGTTTTCTAAGTGTGAGTTCTGGTTGAAGTCTGTAGCATTCTTGGGGCACATTGTATCCGACGGAGGTATAAAGGTAGACACTCAGAAGATTGAGGCTGTGAAATCCTGGCCTAGACCTACCACTCTGACAGAGATTCGTAGCTTTCTAGGCTTAGCAGGATATTACCGGAGGTTCGTAGAGGGGTTTTCTTCTCTTTCAGCACCATTAACGAAGTTGACGCAGAAAGCAACTAAGTTCCAGTGGACAGAGGCCTGTGAGCAAAGTTTCCAGGAGCTTAAGAACAGGTTGACCTTAGCGCCAGTTCTAGCATTTCTAGAGGGCCCAGATGATTATGTCATGAATTGTGATGCCTCAGCTGTCGAGTTAGGATGTGTCCTGATGCAACACGGGAAAGTAATTGCGTATACTTCAAGGCAGTTAAGGAAGCATGAGCGGAATTATCCGACACACGACCTCGAATTAGCTGCGGTTGTCCATGCACTTAAGATACAACGACATTATTTATATGGTGTTCATGTTGATATATTCACAGATCATAAAAGCCTGTAATATATCTTCAAGCAAAAAGAGTTGAACTTGCGACAGAGGTGGTGGCTTGAGTTATTAAAAGATTACGATGTTAACATTCTCTACCATACATGGAAAGCTAATGTTGTAGGAGATGCCTTAAGTCTCTATGGGTAGCTTAGCACATGTAGAGGCCAAAAAAGACAATTAACCAGAGAGATTCATCAATTGGCTTGTTTTGGGGGTTCGATTAGTAGACTCTGGCAATGGAGGAGTTGTACTCCAAAATACTACAAAATCATCTCTCGTAGATGAAGTAAAGGAGAGGCAGTACGAGGACCCAGAGTTGGTCGAGTTGAGAGAGCGAGTTTCGCAGCAGAAGAAGCCGTTGTTAGAACTCAAGGGAGATGGGATTCTCAGATACATGGGTCGTTTGTGTGTTCTAGATGTAGCAGAGCTACGAGACAGGATTATGTCAGAGGCACATTATTCGTGTACTCCATTCACCCTGGGTCGACGAAGATGTATCATGCCATTAAGGAGGTGTATTGGTGGAACGATATGAAGAAGAACATTGTTGAGTATGTCGCTCAGTGTCCTAGTTGCCAGCAGGTGAAGATAGAGCACCAGAAGCCCGGAGGGCTAATGCTGACTATGGAGATCCAGACATGGAAATGGAAGGCGATAAACATGGACTTTATCACGGGCTTACCTCGTTCTCATCGTAAGTTCGATTCCATATGGATGATAGTCGATAGGCTCATGAAATCAGCTCATTTCCTACCGGTCAGATCTACATATACAGCAGAAGATTATGCAAAGTTATTTATTAAAGAGATAGTGCGACTACACGGAGTGCCGATATCTATTATATCTGACCGTGGGGCCCAGTTTACAGCACATTTTTGGAGGTAATTCCAGAAAGGTCTAGGGACTCAGGTGAGTCTCAGCACAGCCTTTCATCCACAAACTGATGGACAAGCCGAGCGCATAATTCAGATGCTCGAGGATATGTTACGAGCGTGTGTGCTGGATTTTAAAAGAAGTTGGAATGAACATAAACCTCTTATCGAGTTTGCATATAATCACATTTATCACTCCAGTATCCAGATGGCTCCGTACGAGGCTTTGTATGGGTGCAGGTGCAGATCTCCTATATGGTGGTTTGATGTTGGAGAATCTAGGTTACGTGGGCCAGACCTGGTTCAGCTGGCCATAGAAAAAGTAATGCTTATTCGGGAGCGACTGTTGACAGCTCAGAGTCGCCAGAAGTCATATTTTGACGTGCGGCGACGAGATTTAGAGTTCGGGGTTGATGACTGGGTATTCTTAAAGGTGTCACCTATTAAAGGTGTGATAAGGTTTGGCAAGAAAGGCAAACTTAGCCCACGTTATATTGGACCTTATAGGATCATTCGGAGAGTGGGCCAAGTAGCTTATGAGTTAGAATTGCCCTCGGAATTAGAGTCTATTCATCCGGTTTTTTACGTATCTATGTTACGAAAGTGCATTGGTGATCCTACCCGAGTGGTGCCCACGGATGATGTACAGATTACAGAGGACTTGTCATACGAGGAAATTACGGTTGCCATCCTAGACAGAAAAATTCGCAAGATACTAAATAAGGAGATAGCGTCCATGAAGGTTTTATGGAGAAGTAAGAAGGTGGAAGAAATGACGTGGGAAGCAGAGGAAGAAATGAAGTCTAAATACCCCCACCTATTTCAAACTGAAGATATGGCTCGAGATGGGATACCTCAGCACAGCTCTATTCAAGCCAGTAGGTCATCAGGTAAGCTCTTATTTTTAACTCTCAGAATTTATAACGGACAGTTGTGTGGAGCCAAGTGTTGCTATTTTAGACAGTGGCCATGTGTGGCATGTATAGTAAGTTTTCTGGCTGCGTAGAGGTTAGCTTTAGTCTAATGTACGAAAGAGGCTCCGGCAAAAAATTTCCCAAAGTATCTAAGAATAGACATTCGAGGACGAATGTTTCTAAGGGGGGAAGGATGTTACATCTCGTATTTTTTGTACGTTAAAAATTTCGTCTTCAGTTAATTAACGTAGACTCGGGGATGAGATTATCTGGAGGTTAGCATATTTATGCTATTTATAACAAGCAATAAGTAAGTGCCACGGAGGAAAGGGCACACGAAAGAAAATGAGTTTCGTTGAAGGTTGTCAATTTTGGATAAAATACGGGCCGAGCGTTAATACCTGATATTTATGGACTAGTACCATACAAGATAGCATATGACTGTGATAGTAAGATACATAAAGTATATTCAAAATAAGTAAAATTTTAAGTAATTTGAGACGATTTTTAATTATGCGGGTAATTGGTTAATTATCGGGTAACAGGACATTACCTAATTACCTAATAAGTGAATAAAGATTAAATATCCCACCCCCATCCCCACGTGGCAGCTAGCCATGTTATGAAGGAATGACTAATAGCAATTCCTTTCTAAGTTGTCATAAAATTACAATGTCTTTCATTTCCAAGAAATTGCCTAATCAAAGTCTTTCAACTAAAACAAAACGTTAGCAATCCTTAATTCCTTCAACCTACCATTCTCCAAAATCACTCCAAAGATCAGATTTTATAACGCTAGAAATCCTTAATTCCTTCAACCTACCATTCTCCAAAATCACTCCAAAGATTAGATTTTATAATGTTAGCAATCCTTAATTCCTTCAACCTACCATTCTCCAAAATCACTCCAAAGATCACATTTTATAACGTTAGCAATCCTCAATTCCTTCAACCTACCATTGTCCAAAATCACTCCAAATATCAGATTTTATACATTAAGTAGCGTGATTATCTTGAAGCAGCATAGATCTTCCACAGTCAAACGTAAAATTTTGCGATTCTAAAGGAGTACGGTGCAACCTTTTCCGAAAATATCGTACGGATTTTCCCTACTCCGGGTATGTTAAGGCAAGCTCTGCCTTCATTTTGCATTATCTCTTCATAACACAAGTTGGATAACGAGGCATAAAGAAAAATTCATATCCCAGAATTTACGTATATTTTGCTAGTCGCGTAAGTTACGTATATTTTCCTAATTTTGTAAGTTACAATATACTTCTTATCGGGTCTTCATATTCAATTGAGTATTTCCTTCTTCTAGTCAAGATAGCAGAGAGTTTATGTATACATTATTACAGTATTTTCATTACCATCGAGCTATAATCGATGGGCAGGCTCCTATTGGGCAACCTCTGATCACATGGTAAGATACACCGAGCCTGTTGTGGCTGAGCACCTATGAGCGAGCCCAGTTGGTCGAGATACGGAGCCTAGTATGGCCGAGCACCTATGAGCGAGCCTACTACGGCAGAGCAGATATATTTATTTATCGAGCCTTATAAGGCCGAACAGTTATTTCACTTACTATATTGAGAGAGTTAAATCAGTATCAGATATGAGCATATCTTTAGGTTTTCCTTGACTCCCAGTTGCTTCAGTTATTATACTATCAGTTCGGTTTCAGCTTTTAGTATATTGCCTTACATACTCGTTACATTACTTCGTACAGACATCCCTTTCTGGGGGCGCTGTATTTCATGCGTGCAGGTTCAGACGGACAGACGGGTAGACCTCCTCAGTAGGTGTTTGCCCGAGTTCAGCTTTATCGGTAAGCTCTCCGTCCTTCAGAGTTGCCGGATCTAGAAGTTTTATGTACATCTTGTGTATATATGTATATAGGTCATGGGTAGGTCGAGGCGCTATTCCGATCACAGTACATCTGTCAGTAGAGGCTTGTAGGCATATCCTGTCAGTTAGTGCAGTATGTTGGGCTTGTAGGCCTGTACGTATATTTTGTTGGCTCGTCAGTTGTAGTAATTATGACGGCCTTGCCGACCCAACTTTATGTTGACATTTAGTCATCGTTAGTCTCTATTCAGTTTTATATTTTGCATCGTACATTATCTTGTGATGTGGTCCATGGCCAAAGTATGACATTACATGTTCAGAGTCTCTTAGTCGCAAGTGATATGCAAGGACAGGTAAGGCACTGGGTGCCGGTCTCGCCCCCAAGCTCGGGGCGTGACAACTTAGAAGCATTGTGTAGGAAACCCTTTTGTAAATCATAAACCCTTGCGTTTGTGTCTTGGCTAGAGTTAGTCGAGTTGTGAAGACTTTATAGTAGAGTTATTACAAAGTGGCTTGTAATAGTGTTGTTACAAGTTAGTGAGCGATTAAGTTTTTGTAATAGAGTTATTACAAAGTGGCTTGTAATAGTGTAGTTACAAGTTAGTCAGGGATTAAGAGGTTATTCCTAGGTTACAATACGTTGTAATCTAAAGATTGCTCAGTAGTGAAGTTGAAATCCTACAAGGGTAGGTGGTGGTTTTTAATCCCGTTGAGTTGGGAGTTTTCCACGTAAAATTCCTCTGTGTTCTTTATTTACCGCCGATTTACTGTGGGAACAAATAGAGAACCTGGTTCCCTATGTTGTTTGGTTTTACAGTCTGTTGCTTACGGTGGGAACTGACAGAGAACATGGTTCTCCATATAGCTTGGTGGACGCTTAGTTTCTATCAATTGGTATCAGAGCAAGTTCTTTATAAAAGGTTAACACCTAGAAAGAATATACATGGCTACTCCACCAAACTTCGAGGAAAGTCAATCAACCGACAGACCACCAAGATTTCAGAAAATGGTTCATAGAAATGGAGGCATTCCCACGAAGGGCAGCTCTAGCAGAAACACTAAAGGATACGATTGTTGTCACAAGTGCAAAAAGTTAGGACATTTAATCAAAGATTATCCTCTCCACAATCAGCACCATTACAAACACAATGCTGACAAGATGGTTAAGAGGAACCCGGTCATCGACAGAAAGTTCAAGAGTAGAGAGTTCGCTGAAAATACTGTAAAGCAAGCTCTGGATGCCTGGGAGATTCCTATAGTGAATCTGAGGGTGATGATGAACAGGCAGACACCTCCATTATGGCCGTTGAAAGCAAAGCTGCAAAATATGATTCCATATTTGCATTGATGGCAAAATATGATGAGGATGAAGAAGATGATGATGATGAGGTAAACTTCTTAAATGTTCAAACAATTCTAAAGTATTATTCTCCAAAACAATTTATGTCTTTGGCAAATGTTTTAATTGATGCATACCATAGTCTTATAAATGATAAAGATGCCTTAACTGTGGAACTGGGAGAAGCAAAACAATCGAGAGAAGATCTAGTAGTAATGGTGGTAGACTTAGAGGAATCCATTGAGAGTCTTAAGAAAGAAAAAGAGGTTTTAACTGAGAGCAATGCTAGTATTGAGCATGAGAGAGATGACCTAATAGTGGTGGTTGTAGACCTAAAGGAAGTTTCAAGAGAGGCGCACATTAAGCTTAAAAGTGAGTTGAATTCAGTGAAGTCTAGTGTGTGTGATGAGCATGAGAAAAACAAACAACTTCAGGAAGAACTAGGAAGGGTGAAGGGTGATCTTGAAAAATCACTCAAGTGGACCTGGTCCTCTGATGCTATCACTGCCATGTACATCAACAATGGGGGAAACAGGCAGGGAATCGGGTTCCAAAGGGAAAAAACTCCATACAACCCTCATAGCAAGTACATTATTGTACCTGACAATTGGCTTTGCACTCACTGTGGCAACACTGGGCACTTTAAGGAAACATGTAAGGCCAGATTCCAATCTCAATAGAAAAACAAAGTCTTTGCTAAAAAAAGTAACTACTGCGAGGGAACCTGGTCCTTCACATAAAAAACGTATAATGCCTGCTTGGACCAAATGAGCCCTGATTCACCCGTTTCCTCATACAAGGGACCCAAACTCGTTTGTGTTCCTAAGTCTAACTCTTGATTTTCTTGTGCAGGGAATAGTGAAAGGGAGCAACCTACAAGGGTACATGGATAGCGGCTGCTCAAAGCATATGACCGGAAGTACAAAAAAATTCCTTTCACTTAAGTCCCTGCAAGGAGAGAGTGTACCCTTTGGAAATAGCTAAAAGGGGTACACTCCAGGAGTTAGAAGGATTGGAAGTCACTCACTCACTCAATTGAGAATGTGTACTATGTCACTGGACAAAAGATACAAGAATGTTTACATTGCTGATTTTAAGTCTCTGCATTGTGGTGATCTAACATGCCTAAGTGTCATTGATAATGATGCTAAGTTATGGCGAAGATGAATGGCGCATGTGAGTATTTATTTGCTGGACAAGTTGGTTTTGGAGGACCTCGTTCATATGCTGAAGCAGTCAGCACTGCCTGCTACTTGATTAACAAGTTCATGATCAGGTCCCTTATCGAGACGTCTCTCTATAAACTGCTCAATGGGAGAAAATCCAAGCTGACTTACCCGAGATCCTTTGGATGCAAAATGTTTTGTTCTCAACAATGGTGGCAAAGGGTCACATAACAAAGATGATGAAGATTGAGAATTCACAAATGCTCCTGGTGAAGCAATAGATATTTCAAATGGAAAGACTGATTTGATGAGTCAAGTCAAGCAGAGCGATGAAGGAGATGCAGTAGAATCTCCAAAAGGCATAGAGGAACCTGGTCCCTCTATCACCTCGACTGAAGTTGAACATAGGGTTGTTGATGCTGCATTAGGTACTCCTGATGCAGAACAAAAGAGTAGAAGGCATAATTCAATTGATGTCAATGATGACTCACATATGGAGGAACCTGGTCCTTTAAATTCTGAAGTTCAAGTATCCAACTAGAAGCTAAAGAGTTCACATCCCTTCGAAATGTAATCACACCCTTAGACTCTGGTATTCAACCTAGTTCTAAAGCAAGGAGCAAGTTTTCCCTCTCAGTGTTCTTGTCTCAAATCGAGCCTAAGAACATCAAAGAAGCATTGAAAATGCTAATTGGATGGCTGCTATGCAAGAAGAACTCCATCAGTTGAGAGGAACCAAATGTGGCACCTGGTACCTAGGCCTTCAAACGGAATAGTGATTGGAACCTAGCCCAAAAGACTCTCACTTGAAGGCTGCCAAGGGAATTTTGAGGTATCCTAAGGGAACGCGAGACCTAGTCCTCGTCTATTTTTCAAGAGATACTTTTGACTTGGTTGGATATGCTGATGCTGATTATGTTAAATATTTGGTGGATAAAAAGAGCACATCTGGAACGGCACATTTTTTTGGGTCATGCTTGATCTCATGGGGTACAAATAAACAAACTGTGTGGCTCTTTCTACTGCTAAAGCTGAATACGTGGTTGTTGCTTCTTGTTGTTCTCAACTACTACAGATCAGGCAATGTCTTGAAGACTTAGGTGTATTTACAGCTTAAACCCGGTACAACATAAGAGGACAAAGCACATTGATGTGCGGCATCACTTTTTGAGGGATAATGTTGAAAAGGTTCTGATTTGTATGATGTTCTAGAAGACGGAGGACCACGTAGCAGACATCTTCACCAAGGCGCTTAGTAGAGAACACTTTGGAAGAGGTCGTCTAGAGTTGGGGTTGATCAAGCTCTACTAAGGACCTGGTCCCTTAATGATTGGCTATGTAAAGAAGAAAAGATACAATGCTAAAAACTATTTTGCTGATGGCATCTAACTCAATTCCATACCTTTACAAGTATACACACATAGCAGTTTCAGGACAAAACAAGTAAGAGTGACATTGCCCTTCTAGGAGTTTTTGCTCAAATTTTCAAGAACCGTCAAGGAACCTGGTTCCTCTGACTCAGGTTAGTAGTCTCTCCAATACTTATATGCCTTTCTAAACTGCTGAAGTGTAATGTCATTAATTTATTCCTATCTCTCTCCAAATTTTTGAAGTCCAAAATGTTAAACCTTTTCTGAACTGACATGTTGCCTCAAAAAAACATTTCCTTCTCACACACCCAACCAAAACCGATTCTTTTCTTCAAAACTAAATCAACCTTATCTTAAAAAGAATCCTTCTCTCCAAATATGCCAGAAGTGAATCCAACTCTGTCACGTTCCAAAATTCTAACTCCATCTGAATTGAAACCCAAGAAGTCTTTGGTATACTTTGATGGGACTATAACTGAAAAAGAATGGGGTAGATCTAATATTCTGGAGAGTGAGGCTGAAATTGTTGTTGGGTTTGTAGAAGCCTGGAAGGATGGAGGAATCAATGAATGTGCCGGAAAAAAGGGGGAATTGAATGAGGGACCTGGTCCCTCAAATCCTTCTTAGGATGTTAATTCTGATGCTGATCTTTTTCTCTTGGGTTCTATGCTTAAACGAACCTCTGATCCAGCAAAAAGGATTCAGAAAAGTAGGCTGATTGATGATGAACTGGTATGACCTGCTGATGTGGTGATTGTGGAAGAGAGAATGAAGTGGAAAAATATCCATTTATGCGAAAGAATTTTAAAAAAATAGAGAAAAGAAAGTTGGTTGAGAAAGATGCAGCAGATGATAATGATGAACAGATTGAGAAGAAGAAGAGGGAGACATGGCCGTTTAGGGAAATAAAGGGTAGTGTGTGAGGAACCTGGTTCCTTACGGAAGCAAAAGGTTGAGTTATCGGGTTTGGAGAGGTAGAACACTCTGATTTCTCAAGAAGTGCTGTTAGGCAGATGTTGAGTTCCAAAAATAGAATCACCTCTTTGTTCCTCCAAGTCCTAGCGTTTATGAAGAAGAAGTAAAAACATCTATGTTGCATGTGTTACTCTGATGCTATGTGTGCATGGGACCGAGTTTGTTCTTGATGAGGAGAAGCTTGGGAGATTCTTAGTGATCTGATTGATGGTTCAGCCTACTCGAATAGGTAGAGAACCAGGTCCCCGTGGACCCTTGGAAGAATAAAATGCTAAGTTTAAGGTTGAGAATGAAAGATTGAGGAAACAAGTGAAGGAACTGAGAGACAAGATGATCATTGATCAAATGATTGTGAATGAACAAATTGGCAAGCACATCAAGGCCTTATCCCCTTACTTTTCTTCCTGCCCAGTGGTCCATGTCTTTCGCTCCTTTCAAATTCCCTCGAATTCCTATCTTTTTTTGGTCCCTATGTTTGATGACATTGTTACTTTAGTTGTTTAAATTGTCATATTATGTATTGATGATACTACTGTGCTTTTGTTATAATCACTCTACTATGGGCAAACACTCTATTTTGTGCAATGGCATTCACTTGTTGTTCTTGTTATTGTTTATGCTGTGTTGCCCAAGTGGCATGAGTTAATGTGGCTTGTAATAGTGTAGTTACAAGTTAGTGAGGGATTAAGAGATTAATTCCTAGCTTACAATAGGTTGTAATCTAATGATTGCTCAGTAGTGAAGTTAAAATCCTACAAGGGTAGGTGGTGGGTTTTAATCCCATTGAGCTGGGAGTTTTCCACATAAAATTCCTCTGTGTTCTTTATTTACTGCCGATTTACTGTGGGAACAAATAGAGAACATGGTTCCCTATATTTCATTTTACAGTCTGTTGCTTACGGTGGGAACTGATAGAGAACTTGGTACTCGATACAGCTTGGTGGATGCTTAGTTTCTATCACATTCTACCACTATAAAATCCGCAATATACGTAGACACATAAATAGGGGTAATCAAAGAGTCACGAAACA